AATCATCTCTTCAAGAAGAGAAGATGATTTACATGTTTGATCCTTCGTCCCTGACGACTCTCTTTTCGGTCTCAATTTTGATTAAACCTTAAGCTTGTGTTTGCACTGCCTTCAGTCCAATCCAAGAAAAGTTTATGAGAGAGCACGGCAATGACTACTTGAACCAATAGACTAATCCCTACAGTCTTGTTGATCCCTCTTATAATCATGCCTAGGAAGGATCCACTAGTGCCATGCTAAACAGCTACGGACCAGCTTATTCGCCACTCTTTTGCAAACCCAGGGAAGGTTTACTTTGTCCCATGGCACAAGGAACAACTCATAAAACCATTGGAACAACTCATAGAAGTTAATAGTAATCTTGCCAACTCAAAGTGTAACCTCGAGTTGCTAATGTGCCTCACTCACGAGCCCAAGTGCAAACTCGTGCAAAACAGAACACCTTACATCCAACTTATGAGCCCAAGCGAAAGCTCATTACTCTAGTATGAAAAGGTAACCAAAATCCATACCTAAGGAACAATTGCGAAGCTTTTGCACGCAAACGTATACCCACTCAAATCATTGTTTTCATCTCTGCGTATGCAACAAGATTAATTGCCCAATCTCATTGTATAGTACTCGCTGAGACTCATCCTCTGATACCAAATACCCTTTATCCTATGGTGATTTACCATAGGATAACACCACGAAGCGGAACCTAAACCCCCTTTATGCCACGTGACAGATGCCATGTGTCACATGCCACATGTCCATAGGACAGTGGTGTGGAACCTGAGGTTCAGGGCCTTGGGCCACTGAACGAAGGAACGGTGCAAAACTCCCAAGCATGGAGCCAAGGAGTGATGGAACCGAACCATGGAGCAACTCCCGAGCATGTAGCCCAAGGAGCGAAGAGACAGGGGCACGAAGCGACTTGGAATAGTCCTAGAGTATCCAGCATCCCAATGCCAGGACCAGCACACAAAATGGAGCCAAACAAAGTTTGGCGCTATTTCGGCATACAGGTGGCCTAACGCGAGGATATGAGTACCCCACCAACTAGCATGGTATGGAACTTGGGCTTAGACCCAAGCCGAACACAGAACAAGGACAGGCACGCAAGCGAGAGCTAGACTATGCCTTAGGTTGGTCGGCCATGCCCGACCTACTCACTATCCCTACTATACTTTTGGAACCCCCCATAGCCCCCCCCCTTAAGGAACACACGCTTTGGGCTTTCACCCCAAGCCTCCCTTAGTATCAGGAGTTAATCTCTGGGACAAGCTCGAAACTTACTAAATATGGAATGGCATTAGATTGCGAATTTGGACACGGGACGAACACTATTGTGTTCAACACAATCTTTACATTCCGTAGATATGCCAAATGAGCAAATCTAGACACTTTTCATAAATAGCATTTAAGACCGAATGAGACTAACACAAAGGGCATGATAGCAAGGGTGTTTGGCAAACACGGTAAGCTATCATCTAGCGATGTTGAGGGACCAATCTCAATATCATGAGGGTTCTTGATACTAGCAAGTGCAAGCCAAAGACAGGAGTTTCTCAAACCAGGCTAAGTATGCTCAGCTAAAAACACATAGGAGTTCCTACCTTATGTTTATCCGATTTAAGTACACGGTCATTGACCAGTTTCTCAACTAGCTCAAGTGGGAAATTGATAACGGGTCCAGCAACACCGATCTCCTGCCGTCGTGGCAGTAAGGAAAGAATATCCGAAAGGACTAGCTGACAGGTAACTTTCGATACCCGAAGTCATATTCACTCACAACGGTGCAGTGCGATCAGAAAGCTGATCCACAAAACGTCCAAGATACTGCACCTTGCTCAAGAAGCGTTGCACATCATTCACACACTTCGGAGTAGGGAACTTTAGAACAGCCACAAGTTTGTCATGATCAACTTGCAAACCCTCACGAAAAATACGGTACCCAAGATAAGTTGTGTCCTTGGATCCAAACACGCACTTCGACCGCTTCAGCTTTAAATCAACATCACGTAACCGATCCAACACTTTACAAACATCACGAACGTGCTCCTTCTACGTCCCCTCCGAGTGGATCAAGACATCATCAATGAAGTCAGCAGTCATCTCTGGTATATCGCAAAGAACCTCGTCCATCATCTGTTGAAAAGTTGCTAGAGCATTTTTCAAACCAAACGGCATCACCAAGAACTCATACAAACCAAATAGTGTACGAAAAGCAGTTTTAAGAATATCTTCTTCGGCCATCGGTACTTGCCAGTACCCAGAAGCAAAATCTAGCTTGGTGAACCAACGACTTCACCCCAGACGATCCAAAAGATTAGCAGTGTGAAGAAGAGGGTACACATCTGGGATCGTTACGTAGTAAAACGGACGATAGTCAATGCAGAAACGAATACTCCCATCAGGTTTCGTCACAAGATGAGGTTCACATGCCCAAGGACTCCGCAACTTCCGAATAACACCCTTCTCCAACATCTCCTTGACATTTGCACGTAAAATCTTAATCTCCTTTGGTGACCAACGACGAACAGGTACCTTGATTGGACGAGCATCCCCAGTTGGAATCGGATGACGTGTGGCAATCTTGGCTCTAGATGATAAGAGCAGAACAAGATAGAAACACAGGAGGAAATAATGGGGGAACAAAAGTAATAGAAACAGAAGTAGAAGTAGAGGGATGAAGAGGTAAGGAAGTGAGAGGAATGGATGAAACATAAGGAAGTATGAGATAAGAAGGAGAAGCCTCAAAGTCACACTTGGCATGATTGCGCTGCAATCAATCCATACCAAAAATGAGGTCAAAAGCTTGACTTGGCACCACCTGCAACGACTGCAACTCAAGCTCGAGATCGCCCACACGCACAACCAGGTCTGCCTCATCCCGTGCACATGCATGTGTACAGCCATTGCCATAAAGAATGAAAACTAGTTTCGCCGCATGACGCAAGTGTAGACAACAATGTGTGGCAACAAGTCGAGCAATAGAAGATAAACTTGAACCTATATCAACCAACACGGAGAGAATAATAGGAGACAACTTGTTATAAAGACGAGCTTGGAAAGTAAACACTGGATGAACTGGTGCTGAGTGAACCCCTTGATGATACTCCCGAAAGAAAGATGGAGGGGTCACTGACTTATTCACGCAAGGTCCCTCCATTACTCGCGCGACTCCTCATTTCCTGGATGCATCTCGGCGTCCAAACCTTCCACTACAGCAGTACCAACGGGACGTTACTAATGCCAAGGTCTCCACCCAGGAAATAGAGGTCACCAATCCGGAAAACGTTGACAACGCCGATAAGTATAACCAACTTCATCACATGCCTAGAGCGAACATCACGGCCACGACCACGTCCTCACCCTTGGCCTTGGACTCGAGCAGCAGCAACATCAACCTCCATTGGAACATGACCATCACCCACAGGAAGTGGAGCTAAAGGATGTGCAACGAGAAGTGGAAGAGGCGACATCTCATAACGTTGTGCCAAGCGAAGAGCATCGTCAAGGGTGGCGGGAGCAAGTGCATGCACAAGTTCAACAAGATCTTGACGAAGTGTTGGCCACAACATTCCTAGCTTGATCCGCTCCGACATATTTGGCTTCGCACGAAGCAAAAGACTTCGGAAACGAACACCAAATTGCATCACCGACTCAGATGGCCCTTGGCAAAGACGATGCAATTGTTAGAAGACATTGTCACAGTCGTCGGCATGTTTGAAGGCACGTTTGAAGACGTCCGGGAGAACACTCCAATCCCCACAAGTGGCTGCGCTCAAACCATTGTACCACTGCAATGCCGTCCCTTGAAGACACATGGGAAACTCACGCAAACATCGAGCATCATCCCAAGAATGATATGTGGCAATCACTGTGAAGTGATCGAACCAATGGTACACATCATCCCCAGGATTCCCGCAAAAGAACTCTAGCCGAACGCGAGGATTGGCACCAAGAGTAGGAGGAGTTGTACCACGTGCCGTGAACGCCGCCATCAACTAAGTTTGGTTGTTCAATTGCAAGCGCATAGCATCAAGCAATTGTACTAACTGTTGCTCCAGAGTCAAAGGAGGAGATTGTTGATCTGCCATGAAGACGAACGAAGAAAGATAAATGACAAAAAGCTGGAAGGAAATGGTAAATCTAAACAATGCAAAAAGCTAGATCTAAACCAAAATCCTGAAAGGAAAGAACAAAAGAAAAGAAATGGAAAAAACTAAATTTAGACGATCCAAAAGCTAGATCTAAACCAAAATCCCAAATCTAAACACTCCCCATGGACAATCAAAAGTGCCCCTCATCTCCACCAATGTGAGTGCATGGAATATGGAATGTGCATATTAATTAGCCCAAAAACCCTAGCTTATATACAGGAGCAAGTGGTCCGGATTGAAACCAATCCAATAGCTACCAAAATCCCACTACCCTAATATTAGTATATGGCATTGTTGCCGTACACTTGGCCCTCACAACACAAATTATATATAAAATACATACTGGATAATTGTACTTTTTTTATCATATCAATTTAGGATCTTAGAACATTTTTTGTGGTGGCCAAATGTGGGCTATAAAATCCATGGGAAGAAATTCAAATAGCAAAGTTAGGCAAAGAACACTAATGTGTTAAATGCTAAACCAACTTTATTTTCTTTTGCAAGTGAGGAAGGCAAAAAACTTTTCATTCGTGGCACTGCCACAGGCAAGGATTGTGATGCATGTCTCATGGGAAGTTTGTGGAGCTAAACCTAGTTGACTTTGTTATTTAAAATCTGAGCTGGTTATTCACTCCAAGATTCAAAGAAAATGAAGTGTAGTAGGCTTGAATTTGATAATAAGAGTTGGGTATAGTGCTTTAGTAGGCTTGACTTTTACTGATTGATGGATGATAACAAAATGTATTAAAATGAATTTGATCAGTTACGAGAATATTCTGCCAGCTGCATGCCTGCTCCCTCTTTGTTAAATAGGGGCAAACTATTTTGATAAATTACAATAATTCAAAAATGGAAGATATTACTCTTCTTATGTTCATGATTTGCTCTTCTCTCATACTATTTCCATCTGCAGCTGTAGAACTTTGCAATTACACCATTGAATTTTATGATTTCTCAACCGGTCTTCGTATCAGCTGCAATGAACAGAGTGCTTCAGTCAAGCTCTCAAATCTCAATGGCGACTCTGCCCAAGTCACTGGCTTGAAAGGCGATTCTTGTGGAGGGAATTCTGCAACAGTCATGGCACCTTGTGACTACTGCATTATCACTATAAACGTCTCCCCTCAAAGAATGGTTCCAGGCTTGGTGATGGTTTCTCGTGAAGGAATGTTGGAAAATGAGTACTTCTTCCGTTTTTCAAGTGAAGTGCTCACTGAGTGTCCCGGTTTCAACGTCGCTAGTGATTTTGCCATTGGCTTCAATCGGCAGTTTTTCCTCTTTCCAACAACATGCATGTACAATTCAAGATCAAATTTCCTGATGTGTCCTGGTTGCTCAGCTTCGGGGACGGTAAATAATTCTTTATCATATCCTTCACAAATCCAAACTAACATTTTTCAACTTTTTTTGGCTTATATTTCAACTTAGTGCTCATATTCCATCAAGCTGGATGCCCAGACATTGTTCCTATGTGTCACAAGTCAGAAGATTGAGGTGTCAATCTACAACGATTACGATAGAAATGTTGGGCGGGGATCTGGGGAGTCTGCAGCTTTTGTAGCATCTCGCAGTGACTTTGAGCAAGGAATCACTGTCATTGGGCGATGCGTGGATTTTTGTGCAGTCGGGGTTCAGATATATGATACAAGTTGCTCATATCAAGTGAATCAGGTGAATGTTATGGGTTCAAACAACATCTCTCGTACTTTCCAGGTTGGTGCAACCTTAAGCCCAAACCAAATCATCTTCCAGAGGAACTATGCTTCAGTATACAGAACTCAGTGCAATCGGCCTAATCCATACCCCATCATGATTGGTGGAACAACTGTACTCGTTCCAAGGGCCTGTGAAACTAACTTCACTGCTACACCAACTAGAATCACATGTCCATGCTAAGGAAACTTAAGCATGGAAATAATAAAAATAATGGGGGCCAGTCCTACGAAGACAGTCAGACCTGAATTTCAGTATAATGTTGAGTATTTAGGTCCTCCTAGTGTTGTGGAGTGGACACATCAGCTAGTTAAGAGTTGTGACCTTTCGTTCATTGCTGAATATACTTATTATAATGCATCAGAGACTTCTTCCAGAATTCCTACATGGTATCAGAGACTGAGTTTTGCTGATTTTCAGAGAGCCCTATAGAGAAATAAGATGGTAGCGATCCAGATGAACCACCAGATGTGGTGGAAAGATGAAAGCATTCAGATTATGCTTTCAGCACGAGGAACAACTCAGATTCTGGCCTGGTGATTTGAGTTAACAGAGGATCTAGGCAATGGAGGATTCCCTTTTCTGGTAGATTGTTTGCATCCCATGTGCTAGAAGCCGAGAACGAGATGGTGCTGAGATTGCAATTGGTGGCATGAGAGAAATGCCAGGGCCACGGAGTGCTCAGACTGGTCACATGGGGAAATGTCAGCCAAAGGAACAGTGACATCCAATTGGGTAGGAACCCATCAGGTGCCCTAATAGAAAGAGGGAGAGAGCAGCAATGAGAGATGAATTGCCCACAATCTGCAGAGCATAGATACAGTTTCTTGAAAGATGCATGTCATAAAGATTTTCCCAGGCTCATGTCAGATGAGGATTTAAGTCCTCTTATGACATGAGTGTATCATGTGGAATGGACACATCAACAATCATGGTAATTAAGAGTTGTGACATTTTGTTAATTGCTGTATATACTTATTATAATGCAATGATGATCGAATTGTGACCCTTCATCTAGATTTCCAACAAATAAAACTTTGTGTGATGTTATGTTCTATCATTCAAAATGATAAAGCTTATTAAATTTGAATATTCATCGAATTTCTAGCAACTAAAACTAGAGTTAATGAACCAAAATGAGGATAGATTAATTTTTGTTTTTGAAAATGCCGGACAATAAAACTAAAATCATTGACTTATAAATCTTAAACCCTAAACACTTAATTAATCCACTTTTAATTTGTTTAGCTTTTTCAGATTTTGCTTAATTTAAATAAACACATTTAAGCCTTAAAGCAGCTTTACATTAACCTTCTACCAAGAGGGACAGAAGGTGATGAGATAATCAGACCCTGCAGTGCAAAACAGCGGAACATTAGTATCATCAAACGGGTAAGTCTTTGCCTGAGGACAACACTCCTTGAACAGCAAACTGAACTGATTTGGATGGCATTTATCCTCCCAAGAACTCATCCTCGCAGCAAAACTCATCAGCGCCAAACGCTAAGCAAGGACTGTTGCAAGCAACTGGAGTTCCCCTCGAATTCCAAACCAGCAGCTCCGAAGGACACCGCGAATTCAAGTCGCAGCTGCAGCCACCACTGAGGCAAAACGGATTGCTGCTTGAAACTTTCACCGCCAAGTTGTATCTTCGACCAGAGAGACGCTGTACTCGTCGATGAAATCGCGATGGAGCTTGAACTCGACTGTGGTGGCCGGGGGCGAATAAGTGCTATTGCATCCGATTGCGTTTGAACAATCTCCTGTTTCGCAGCAGCCTGTGCCTAGAACTGTGTCAAACTGACAATTGGGGCGCCCCCAGAACTTGCCTGACCATCCCGTCGAAGCATAAACGTCAAAGAGTTGCCATGAGTCTAGCTTTGATCCTCCCTTTCCCAGCTGCGGATGACCGGAGTTTGGTAACCACGCAGGCCAAACGGGGAATGCACATGCGTTCTAGAGACGAATCCTTGTTGCTTCGGTTCCTGGTAACGACGATTGAGTGAACACAGAAAACAGAAGCAGGGAGATGCTTACCACTTCCGAAGATCAAAAGCTGAAGAAGCTTGAAGCTTGAAGGCGATTTCATTGCTTCCGTAATGCCTCCTCTTCTGCAAAAGCTTTTGTACCAGGGCGAAAGGAAAAGCTTCTATTATCCAGGCTTTGCTGAGGAAAGCCCGTAGAACCTCGGTGGTTATGCCGGAGGACCTGTTAGCATATCGAAACTTGTGGAGCCAAGAACCATTCGATCCCAAGTAAGCCACTTACTTACGTTCAAGTCCTTGTGGAACTAACTTTACAATCGTCCAGTGCTACGGGATACATTGGCATGCACAAGCTGCGACGATTTGTAAACGCTCTCGGTGACCCGCTGGGCCGGCGCTACAAGTCCGCGACCCAATGGTCTGGCGTGTGTTTACGGAATCCTCCCAATCTCTCTTTGTCTCTCACTCGTTTTTTTCTTTGTTCTGCTCAGGTACATGAGAATAGAATACGAGGTGATGAGTTTTCGAGTTCCAAACAAAGGAATCCCTTTCAAGGAGCTGCTGGAAACGCTGACGCTGTATAAGATCGGACCAACTGTAAGTAGCTGCTATTCCAAGCTTGTGATACTTACGTTTGGCTCGGATTAACGCAGGGGTTGCCTCTCACTCTGCGCATCGAGCGTGAGAAGCGGATCCAGGCCGTGTACATCCAGGGCGCTGCGACGAAAATGCAGGCTCTCGTGAGAGGTTTCCTGGCGAGGATAAGAGCCGGCAAAGGTGGTGCTGCTGTGAGCAAAACCGAGGTAGCAGCTCAGCAAGAATTGGAATCGACAAGGAGCAAACCCGAGGTGGTAGAGATTGCCAGGGACGTGAGAGGCGAAGCTCTCCTGGTGGGAGAATAGTGGTGCAGTCGCAGTTTTGTATATATTGATTTAGAGGAGAAATATGTCAAACTACAGACGTTCGTATAACAAAATGCTTCGGAAATTAAGACTTATGTCTCTTGAGATTGGGGCAGTCCTCAAGCCAAGGTGGAATTTTCATTCCTTCCGGGCAGTTTAGCTCTTCCAGCCTGGGAAATGCGCCCTGGCTGTGATTGTGGACCACAGTGCATCGTTAAGTATCATGCTTGGCCTAAAAATTCCAAGACGTTTCAAACCTGGCAGCGATGCAATGGACGATGGAACGATACTCTCATCACAGCTCAACCACACGTCTTCTATATCAGTCATTTGATCTGATGGCTCAAAGAAATCATTTTGCATCTTCCTGCATGACAGTGAAAGTTTTTGAGCTTTGAGTGATGACTTCTCGGTTGGCAACAACAGTCTCTTTATGCAACCACTTACTTGCCCCTATTTAACAGAGAGGGGGGCAGGCAGGCAGCAGGCATGCAGCCGGCAGAATCTTCTCGCAACTGATCTATTAATTCATTTTAATACATTTTGTTATCATCCATCAATCAGTAAAAGTCAAGCCTACTAAAGCAGTATACCCAACTCCTATTATCAAATTCAAGCCTACTACACTTCATTTTCTTTAAATCTTGGAGTGAATAACCAGCTCAGATTTTAAATAACAAAGTCAACTAGGCTTCAAAAAATGTTCCAAGATCCCAAATTGATATGATAAAAAAAGTACAGTTATCCAGTATGTATTTTGCATATAATTTGTGTATGCTTACATCAATTCAGAATTACAGGGCTTGTTTTAACCACCGAAGCTCTAGTCGCTAATGGTATCCCTCCGAAGTATAAGTGTTTTTCCAGTGGATATGGCTTGCTCACCAATCGCTGCTTTTGATCAGCTCACGACCGTTACTTTTTGAAATGAAGATAGTCTGAAAGGTGCTTGAATCTCTTGATCTTTGATCTGAGGACTCCAGTTGCTTGCAACAGCCCTGGCTTGGTGTTCAGCACTGATGAGTTTTGCTGCGAGGATGAGTTCTTCAGGCTGGAGAAATGTCATCCAAATCAGTTTAGTTTGCTGTTCAAGTGAAGTGTGTATAATTCGATAAAAATTAAATGATACACTGCACTCGTAGAAACAGCGACGCAATATTCTATGGATTTTAGCTAAGTTACTTCAGACCGTTACCGTTCTTCGACAGGATACTAGGATACTGTTGTAAACTTCTCAAAAAAACTGTGGCCAAGTCTTCAACAACTTCATGCACCACCACAGCGAATATCTCCATGTACAAAGACACATGCGCTAAACTTGCAACACCCCTCCGAAAATCCTGCCACGCTGCCACTTTGGTAAACCCAAACTGGAGCACCACTTCCGACGAGCATAAATCAAACGTGTTCGTACCACGGAGGATGTCATAAAGATGCCCTTAGGGGGGAATTGCTGCTGATTGAAAGGAAAACAAGTGCAAGAAGTACCTGAGCTACTCTCACAAACCCTTAAGTACAGCATCAAGGTGTGATCCCGAACTCCTCCAGTTCATCTCGAGATCATTGAGTGAGTTCTCCAAAAGCGGAGTACGATGCTAGTTCAGCCGTGCTGTACGTACATACCATGCTCCGACCGAATACTGATTGCCAAAACACCATGCAGAGATATATATCCAAGCTGAAAAACCTTCAACTGCTTGGTTGCAACTACGATATTTAGACATCCGTGATATCATAAACCTATCTTGGTTGCCCCACCGCCTAGAAACACTTTTTATTAACTGCAATCGTATCCACTTGTTCAACCTGGACATTCCCACGTCTTGGAGATCTGTGTCTTACTAACCTACACATTGCACAGTCAGAATTCAAGGATGATTTGGCTGCCAGTCTTCCAAATCTAAAGCGGTTGTCCTTTTTGCTAGCTCCTGATATTGAATGGGAGCACTTGCCTCTCTTTGTGACACGGCTCCCCAATCGCCTCAAGCATCTGAGCGTAAGTGGTCTCATGAAGAGACTTTTGTTGCCAACCGAGAGTTCATCACTCAAGGTTGAATCTCTTTCAGTATCCAGCAGGAAGATGCAAAATGATTTCTTTGAGCCATCAGATCAAATGACTGATATAGAAATCGTGCATTTGAGATGTGATGAGACTATCATTCCATCGTCCATTGCATCGCTGCCAGGTTTGAAATTTCTTGACATTTCGGGGCCAAGCGTGATACAGAACGATGCACTGTGGTCCCAGAATCAGAGCCAGGCGCATTTCCCAGGCTGAAATCGCTAATCTGCCCGGAAGGCATGAAATTTCCACCTGGCTTGAGGACCGCCCCAATCTCGACATACAACGTCGTTAGCAAGCGTTTTGGTATTCGAACGTCTCACCTCTAAATCAATATATACAAAAAGGCTGGAATCGCTATACTGCCCGAAAGGCATGAAAATTCCACCTTGGCTTGAGGACTGCCCCAATCTCAAGATAAAACGTTTTA